TTGGTTATTCACCTCAACACATAATATGAAAACCAGGACTAAAAAAAATGCAATGCTAGCCTTACATATGAGTTTATGTTTGTGAAAACTCTATTTCAGAAATCCCACAGTATTCCCTTTAGATAGCGTGGAACTTTTTATAGAAATCTGAAACTAGAAGTCTGATAAAAGAAACATGGATTTCAATGTCTTCTAAATGCTGATTTTGCTTCGAGCTCAACTATTAATTGCTGATTAGAGGAAAGTTGTTGTACATAGCTGAAATGTTCTGGCATGATTTTAAATATATAAATATATATATATATATATCTACGATACTTCATTAATCATGCACAGAACAAGTTTTTAAAATATTAACCTGAATTCTATATGATCATTTAGATCAGTTAAAACCCAATTCTGACCTGATGGAAAGATACCAACATGCATGGAAGTATTTGATGAGGTGGGATAAAGAAACTCTCTGCTTACACAGAAATGACATCATACCTGGAATATATCTATGAAATCTTAGAAAGTAATGAGACGACGAGAGAAGGGAACCATATCAGGTGTAACTGGTGTAGGTGAGGTTTTTAGTGTCTGTGCTGTCAGTCTGAGTGAGCGCTGTACAGATATATAAAAGCATGGGAGCAGAGTGGAAAACTTGTCCTGCAAAAACCTTCATTTTTGCAATAGAGCGCAAATATTTATTTACTTTGAAAGATATTTGTCCATTTCAGCAGGTCATTCACTTGTCCTTTGTTCACACAAAGGCAGATCTCTTTATTATTATAGTTTCCAGTTCATCCAGATAGGAAATCGTTTTGTTTTTTTTACAGTAGGTTCCTCACACGCCTTGGTGAGCGAGCAAAACAGTCTTTCTCACCTAACTTCTGGGGTCAATGACCTGCTAAACTTTCCAAGTAGGCAACCTGTGGCTTGGTTCCAGGTCAAGCTCAATGCAAATCCAATTTGCTTCTGAATATAGCCAGCAGGTCAGCTACACTTAAAACCAGCGTAAGTGTTCCTCTCTCTGACGAGTATGAACTGGCTGACGTAAAGCTCAGAGAGAAAACACTGAATGTGTTTCCATACGAAGGAGAGAAATACAGAAATATTAGTGAGTTATAATCAATAACTTTGGCCACATGGGGGCAGCATATCCATTCCCAAAGATACTGAGCAATGATGTAAAAAACATTGCAGTAGTTTGTGCAACTTTTGATCCCCTGTCTAGGACGTGACCTCTCCTGACCTTCCATTCTGCTCTCTGATGTTGTGATAATAGCATTAGATGAGTTAACATCCCCACCCTTAAGATAGAGCAAGCATTTCTGTTCCACCAGCGGATAAAAAGGGCCCAGTTACTGATGAATCCTATTGTGTGATTAGTGACAGCGACAGGAGGGTGCATATAAGGAGATCTACAGCAGGGAGAAACATGTGGCGGAGAAACCAAGTTACTTTCTTATATCTGTAGAAAAGTCGTGGGACTAAATCTTTACCAAGTTAAAAAGCTCAAACACTCCTTGACTGCTCAGACAGGGTGCGTCTATAAGACTCTTCCAAGAAGAAGTCCTCTTAGCACCTTTTAACACCCCAACATGCATAACTCACACCTACTCTGCCCTTCTTTATCTGAACTTTGTCCCTTTGAATTGATTTAGCTCTTAAAGCTCACCGCAGCGTTTCATCCTGATTAAAGTTCCCCGCTGTATGTGGCGAATAAAACCGTCGCAATTAATATACAGTTTTATTTCTTAAAACAAACAAACCCTTTTCTAAGCTGTCACCTGATTTCAACCATAAGAGAAAATTTATAAGAATAAGTTTTTTAATTTAAAAAACATTTAAAGCTAAGGGCCTGTGAGTAATGTTGTTAAAGTTAGATAAAACTATAAAGACATTTGGAATATTGTGATTATTGTTTCTGTTGTTCATATAAAATCAACTCTATATACACATTTAGTTCCATTCATTAAATACACTGACCATGGTGTTCCTAAACTAGAACTATGAAAGTAGATCAGCCCAGTTCTCATGTCCTTCCATTGGCTCCCTATAGTTCAGAGAATAGACTTTAAAATCCTTCTGCCTCTAATCTATAAATCATTTGTTGTCAGTGGATCAACCTCCTAAAGTCTACTCTGTCCACCCAGAACTAGAACCAAACACAGAGAAGCAGCATTTAGCTTCTATGCTCCACTGATCTGGAACAAAGTCCCAAACTACTGTAAAAGTGCTGAAAGTTTAAGTTTTTTAAAGTTAAAATCCTAGAACTATTAAACTATTAACTGAGGAATCATTGGCTTACATTTGGGGTCAATTTCATTTATTTTATCTTTATTTCCTTTTATTCTGCTTTTATATTTTCTCTTATTTTATTGTGTAAAATAGGTTTAAAACATTTCTAATTGTCTTTACACTGAATTGTTTCATATAAATAAACTAA